ATCGAAATGTTTGTTTTTTTTTTGTAATCCATGATTGAATTTTTTGTTTTTTGCTTTTTTTGTAACCCATGATAGAGTTTTTTGTAATCCATGATTGAATTTTTTGTAATCCATGATCGAATTGTTTTTTTCTTTTTTTGTAATCCACGATTGAATTTTTTGTTTTTTTTTGTAATCCATGATCGAATTTTATGTAATCCATGATCGAATTTTATGTAATCCATGATCGAATTTTTTGTAATCCATGATCGAATTTTTTGTAATCCATGATTAAATTTTTTGAAAATTTGTGTATTTTTTTTTTTAATCCATGATCGAATTTTTTTTGTAATCCATGATAGAATTTTTGGAAAATTTGTGATTTTTTTTTTTAATCCATGATCAAATTTTTTTTGTAATCCATGATAGAATTTTTTGAAAATTTGTGATTTTTTTTTTAATCCATGATCGATTTTTTTGAAAATTTGTTATTTTTTTTTTAATCCATATTATTCAAAGAGAAAATGAGAGAGATGATGATTCTGAGGCCACCCTATCCCAGCCATATTATTCACATATCGAGTCCTAACAGCAACAGTGTAGGGATGAGCACGACAGTGCAGGTGAGCATGAAGGATGGACAATCTTCGGAGATTTTAGATTGGGAACACAACAAAACACTAACACTCAGGGATTTGATAATAGTCAGACGCCTGCTAATATCGATGATTCGTTTTTAGATCGAATCAATGAATTGTTAAACGAATTCAATCAATGGCACCAGCGTGACCAAGAAGAACAATAACGTCGTCTATCATTTTATTTTTAGATCATATGTTACTAATTTTATGCTTTATTGTAGTCCATGTAAGTTGATATACTTATTCCATGATAATTATATGTTTATCCTTTTATGTGATGTAAATTAAATGCTGAATGGCGGTTCATGCAGGGAAAGAACATATCAATATTCGCATATTCATTCAAAAACATGAAAATTCTTAATGGAGTACCCCCATTTTTTATTGAATTCCTAAAAAACAATATTTATAATGAATTTTAATAATTTTTTCGGATTTTTTTTTAAGTCATTATGACCGATGCACCCGATTTTCGATCCGAATAGCCGATTCGCCGATCCGGATCGATTTTTTGGAAGCCCAATCCGGGTCACCGATCCGTTTTTTAAACCATTGCTTTGCACCCGTTAAGAGCCCACATTGCTTTGCTTTGTATTACCAGATATGGTTTCTAGTAATCCTCTCTCTCTCTCATCCCCCCTCACACCCTTTTCTCTCTCTAGGCTTCTTCCTCAAAAATCGAAAACCTTCTCTCTCTTCCATTTGCGTGGACTGGTAAAACCAGTCTATTCAGATCGAAACACACTACTTTTCCATGCTGGGTTCTTGCAGGAGCCTGGGTACTCGTAGCTATCCTTCCTCACTGACAAACAATCATGTACTCTCTCTCACTGAAATTCTTTGCAAGAGTTTGCGATGTTTCACACTGGTTTCTGTTCAAGAGCAGCTGAAACCGGTGGAAATAGATCAAAACCGGCTGGTTTCCATGTTGGGTTCTTGCAAAAACGTGGAATCTTTAAAGAAGTTACACGCCCAGTTCTTGGTACTGGGTTTCTCTGAGAATTTATTTAGCGTAACAAAGATGTTAACGATGTATTTTATATTAGGAAGCTGGGAATCGGGCCGGTTGATTTTTAACCATATAAAAAACCCTGATCTTTATTCATGGAAGCTGATGCTTGGGCTATACTTAACATCTAATTTGTATTCTGAACTTCTTTGTTTTTACCGGAGCATGAAAGTTTACTGTCTAGAGAGTGATAATAGAGTTTTCGCTATAGTACTGAGGGCCTGTTCAGAACTAAGATCTTTGAATGTAGGGAGAGAAATACACTCCCAGATTATCAAAATGGGCAATCCTGATAGTTTTATCTTTTCGGGTTTGATCAATCTGTACATGAAATGCTCGATAATGGATGATGCCAAATTAGTCTTTGACGAAATGCCTGAGAAAAATGTGGTTGCTTGGACCTCCATGATTGCTGGCTTTTTGCAGAATGAAGCCCCTGAAGAAAGCTTGGTCTTCTTTAATCCAATGCAAAGGGCCAAGGTCAAACCTAACCAGTTTACTATGGTGAGCTTGCTTTCAGGTTGTTCTCGACTGAATTATGGGCATCAAGGCAAATGGGTTCACTGTTACATGATCAAAACTGGATTAAATTCTAATTCTTTCACTGCAACAGCTCTATTGGATATGTACTCGAAGTGTGGAACTCTTATTGATGCTTGTGCAATCTTTGATGATATGCATAGCACAGATGTGGTTTCATGGACAGCCATGATTTCCGGATACACCCAAAAAGGCTCCCCTTTTGATGCTCTGAAGCTTTTTAGGGAGATGCGAAGGCTGGCTTTATTGCCAAATTCTCTCACTATTGCGAGTGTTCTCTCAGCTTGTGCGAAATTAGGCTCCCCAAAACAAGGATTGTCAATTCATAAACTTGTAATTATGCTTGGATTAGAAGGCAATTTACTAGTAAGGAATGCACTAATAGATATGTATGGCAAGTGTGGTATGATAGATGAATCTTCCTGTATATTTGAAAGTATTCAAGAGAAGGATCTTGTTACATGGAATTCCATGATATCAGGTTATTCTCAATTGGGTTTTGGGCACGAAGCTCTAGTCTTGTTTCAGGGGATGAGATCGAATGATGTGCTTCCTGATCCAATCACAATGGTGAGTGTTATTTTAGCTTGTTCATGGTTGGGTTCTCTAAAAATGGGCGAGTCTTTTCATGGCTTTTCCACCAAAGCTGGATTTCTCTTGAATGTTTATGTGGGCACCTCTCTCATAGACCTTTACGCAAAATGTGGATATCCTAAGGTAGCAAGAAGTGTGTTCAATGAGATGAGAGAGAAAAACATTGTGAGTTACAGTGCAATGATAAGTGGGTATGGCATTCATGGCGACGCAGAAAATTCCCTCTCTTTGCTCAGAGACCTAGAAAGAGAAAAACTACAACCCAACGACATCATTTTCACAGGAATCTTAGCAGCTTGCAGTCACAAGGGGCTGGTCACCGAAGGCCGGAAGTGCTTTAATAGAATTAGTAGAGATTATGGAATTAGTCCTTCGATGAAGCATTATGCTTGTATGGTTGATCTTTTAGGGAGAGCTGGAAAGCTCAATGAAGCTCTGGAATTCATAACGAAGATGCCCATAAAGCCTCAAGAGGCTATATGGGGAGCCTTGCTTCATGCTTGTAGGCTTCACATGGACGTTGAGATTGCAGAAATTGCAGCTAATCAGCTATTTGATCTCAAGTCTGAAACACCAGGTTATTATGTGTTAATGTCGAATATATATGCGGAGGCAGGAAGGTGGGATGGTGTGAAAATGGTGAGAGAGATGATGAGAGAGCGAAGGGTGAGGAAATTGCCTGGTTGGAGCTCCATAGAGGTTGAGAACAGAGTGCACTCATTTACAGTCGGGGATGCATCGAGCCCATTGACTGTACAGATACATGACGTGCTTGAGAGGCTTTCAAGACATATGGAGGAGACTATGTGGGAGCTATAGGCATGCATATGTGCATTCATGTTTCCCTTTATGTGTTGGTCAGGTGCTGTTATATGAAGTTATTGAGAGAGAGAGAGAGAGAGATCAAATCTTATCATCAAACTCAAGCTTTTATTAATGATTTATCAACCATCAGCTACCTAATGGTGACTCCATTTTTCCATGGCTCTCACGAGCCCCAAATGAGAATCCCCACCATCAGCAACCGCTTTCCTTGCCTCCTCCCTCACTCTTGCTGCACCCTCCCTCGCACACACATCCCCCATAAATCCTTTTATTTGTTTGCAAACATCTTCTCGATTCACAACCCTTTCACCGCACCAACCCTGAGGCCACACCCCAAGCCCACTCTTCTCCACCACGCCAGCATTGATCATCTGATCGCCAAATTGAGGCCAAGCCAGTATAGGCACCCCATTCAAAGCCGCCTCAGCCACTGAGTTCCAACCACAATGGCTCACGAACCCACCAACTGATTGGTGCCCAAGCACTGAACCCTGATCAACCCAACCGTCCACCACTATTCCCCTTCCCTTAACCACAGACAACCCCTGAGCCCCCTCATCCACCACCTTGGACTTGACCACCGCCAAGAACCTCACTCCACTAGCCTCAAGCCCAGCCCCCAATTCGTCAACTTGGTTTTTCGATATGGTAGTTCGACTTCCAAAGCTCACATATATGACCGACCCATTCGGTTGCCCGTCAAGCCAATCCATGGGAGCTGATGGACCCAGTGGATCAGGAGGCAATGGGCCTATGGGGAAGATTGGGGGGACATGGGCTTGCATAGCAAGGGCACTGAGAGCGTCAGTCTCGAAAGCTCTAAAGGTATTTAAGATTATGCCTGTGGCCTTGGGGAGGGCATTCGAATTGGCTTGAAAGAGAGTGGTGAATGCATGGTTCGGGTCTTTCAAAGCTGGAGGGATCGAAGCTGGAGGAAATGGAGGTAGGCCTGGGATGTCAACTGGGTGGTTGGCGAAATCAGTCGAGAGGGATGGGAAGTGTGCAACGAAGGCTAGCATCAAGGCAGAGGAGGTAAAGAAGATATAATTTGGAATGCCCAATTGGTTAGTAAGGGGAAGCATTGCGCCCGCGAGGCTTATATCGGTTATGAGAGCAGAGAGGCCATTGAGGTTTTCAAGAATGGGCTTTAGTTCATCGATCGAGCGACTAATGAGACCCCATTGTTTAAAGAATGGGTCGATGTTATCAGAGAGAGGTGGGGGAAGAGAGTAGGGGAGACGGTGGATGTCGAGGCCTGAGGAGAAGAGGGCATCGAGGGTTCGCGACTCAGGAACTGAGACAAGTGAAGTAGGCACAAGGATCGTGACGGTGAAGCCATGGTCTTTTGCGAGGAGGGTGGCGAGGCGAGTGAACGGGGCTAAGTGGCCCATGCCTGAGCTTGGTAGCATGGCCACATGAGGCCTTCGGTGCTCTTGGCCTGCCATTGCAAGAACTTCGAATCTTCGAAGTGTGGTGGTTTGAAAAACTTAGAAAGCAATCTCTGTCATGGACACAAAGCCTGTTGCATTGCACTGTTCAAGGGAGTGATTCGGATACTTTATATATAATGCACCTAACCTTTATCCTTGTTAGGTAGAAGCCATGGTTGTTATTTCCTGTATTTATTAAATATTTAATACTTTATATTTAAGTACCTAACCATTTGGACCTTTATGTCAAGTAAAAGCTATTGATGCGATTCCCAATATTTGCTAATAACCTAATATTTATGTACTTTATATCAATGTACCTAACCATTGGACGGTCATGATATCTACAAGCTACGGTGTCGTGATTCCGAATATTTGTTAATAGGAAAAGCTTTCTATACTTCCCCTACACCATAGAAAATATATACTTTTTTTATCTAGCCGTTCAATTTATATCAGAGCTATGGACCATTTGATCTAGGTTTTTCCTTTAGTTTTTTTTTCTACAAATTGTATGAAGAAAATATATACTTTTTTTATCTAGCGATCAATTTATATCAGATCTATGGACCATTTGATCTAGATTTTCCCTTTAGTTTTTTTTTTTACAAATTGTATGAATATGAAATTTGATACCTGCCATCTTCTCAATGGGATGTACCTAAAAAAACTATTTAAATGATTTTTTGATAGAATATAATGATCAAAATACCCCTTGAAACTTTTTAAGGTATTTTGATCATTTTATTTTATTGAAAATATTGTTTTTATATTTTTTACAAATGTAAGTTTAAGAGATGAGTGGGCGCCCAAAATTCGGTGGCTAAATATTTTGTAGAAAAAAAAAATCTAAAAATAAAATAGAGTAGAGATGTAACATTGTGATTAGGGTCATCTCAGTCATCCATTCAAATAGACAGTTGCATGAGTGAAGTTTGGGTGTTGTTTGTATTGAGCCTAGGCTCTAAACAATCAAATTAGAGCCTACCTTCAAATAATGTCAATAAATGTGGTTTCAATACTAAAATATTTGTGATAGTTTTAAAATATATTTTCATCGTTATTTACGAAGTTTAAAGCTTCAATAATAGTGTAGATCGACAGATCTATGAAAACTTGAAAATATTGAAAATTGACGGTCCAAAAATGTGTTACAAAATACACTATTTTCAAAACTTGAAATCCATTTTTTTCTCATATCCATGCGTCTTGATGGCGAGATGATCAATTTGAGGATATTTGGGCATCAAAACAACCTCTTCTAGTGAAATTTTTTATGTAGGCTCCAATTTGATGGTTTAGAGCCTCGGCTCTATATAAACTTTCCCCTATAAATTTTATGCAATAGGAAAGATGGAAAGTTTGCCCGTATAGAATAACCTACTATTTATATATTTTATATCAATTTACCTAACCTAAGTCATTGTGAAACATATGTTTCTCATGGGTGTTTAAGCTATATATATATATATATATATATATATATATATATATGGAAAAAGCTGGGATTAGCCTACTAGCTCATATGAACATATAAGCTTGAGCTCAACTGCCCAAATTGAATCTGGACCAATCTGACGATCACAGATATCCCGTAATTTTTTAATTTTATTTTTTTTCTATAAATCCAAATCATTTGAAATTTTAGACGTGCGTTTATAAAAAATAAGTGAATCTTTGAAAAATATCAAAAAAATATTTTACATAAATAAATTGATCAAAATACCCCCAAAAAGTTTTATGGGGGTATTTTAGTCATTTTATTTTCACGAATTATTATTTTTTATATTTTTATTAGGTACATCTTGATGAGAAGAACACACACCTAAAATTTTAAATGATTTGGATTTTTTAAAAAAATAATAATAAAATTCAAGCACTACCGGACATCCGTAATCGTCAAATCGGCCCAAATTCAATCTGGATCGTTGGGTTATAAATTAGTGGGCTAATCCCTGCTTTTCTATATATATATATATATATATATATATATATATGGGATAATCTAAACTTTACAACCTACAAAATTTCAAGATAGAGAGAGTTTTGAAGAGTAGATTTATTAGTTTTGAAGATGGAGGATGTGAGTGTGGACTTTCAATTTACTCGATTTCATTGATTGGACGGTGATAAGCTTCATGACTAGATTATGTTCTTGCTCCTTCGTTTAAAATATGAACTTTGAGAAATCCATAAACCTCATTTTTTTCTTTTTTTTCTTTCTAAACCCAAAATTCTGATATCTATCCCCTTGCCCCCGAATAACTTTGTTTATTTTTATTTAAACTTTTAACTCAAACAAATTAAAAAATACTTATTTTTTTAACTCTCTCCTCGCAGTTTCAATCTCTCCTCGAGTTTTTCCCTCTAGACTTCTTCCTCTCTCTTTCTACGACCCATTTCTTTCAAGCTCAACAATGGTGGAAGCCGGGATATTGTAGAGAAAATGGGCCACGTTCTCCGACGAGGTCCCGCAATCTCCTTTCCTGGCAAATCTCCTTTCCCAGAGATTAATGCATCGAGATCGCCGCAAAAGTGTTTGGGAAAAGAGATGGGTTTTTTTCTCTGGCGTTAGTGACTTTTTCACGGCAAAACAAGCAGAGAAAACAAACTTCAAGCCCAAAAAGACGATCAAGACTCCTATTTCACGGAGTCGTTTCCAAAATATTGGCCATGTCTTCACCAAAAATCTACTATTGGGCTGGAACCTTCACCGGAAATCGACTAATAGCAGCGGCTAATGCGAGTTATATTGTGGGTGGCGATATCAACGGCGGCCGAATGGTTCCGGTTATCTAATAGAATCCCAAATCGCTCTGCGAGAAAGAGCCGGTCATTGAGTCGCCCCCAATCTACCCCGCTCACTAAGGAAGCTTTTTTACTGAGCTCGTTACACTAGAAATAGCCTATCCTACTTTGCTCACTAGGTTGCTATGGCCCGAGCCCCGCCCTCACTCATTTTCTCTGTTATTCATGTAAATTGGGGCTAAATTCAGTCCGTGAAACCCTAAAGTTCAGGCAATAAAACTACAATCAGCATTATCTGCGTTTTCTCTTTCTTCCTGCAATTTCTTGTCGATTTTCCTGCCATCAAGCACCAACTCGTAGTTCTGTCCAATCTATCTTTAAATTTGTGCCAAAGTTACTGTCATCAAACCCTAATTCCTTTGCTGCTTCGATTCCCTGCACATTTTGGTCAAAATTCCAGCCAAAATGGAGGCCGTGAAAGTGGATCCCCTATCATTTCGCTGGAGAAACACGGTTCCGGCCACTGTGTCCATCGAGCTCCGGCTACCTTTGAAACCTCAAAGTTTGAGCTTTCCCATGGCCGCCTCCCTGACTCTAAAGAGTTGGGGAAGATAGAGAGAGAGAGGGATTTGGGAGGTTGATCGAGGGGAGAGAGAAAGGGAATCATGTCGAGAGAGAGAGAGAGGTAAGTTT